GGGGGGGGGGGGGGGGGGGGGGCGGTGGTCGGACGACGGCCGACCTGACCTTGTACTCGCGTTACTTTGAAAAGTCTCATTTGTCGCTCAGCAATTGAGCCGAACGGGCATCATCGGCTTCCTCGAGTACTCAGTCAATCAACTTCTATCTTCATATATTCGTCTTGGAATTGTGATGTTTTTTATTTCTTTTTTCTTCGCTTGTCACCGAACAAAGACCGAGTTTATTATTTGTATCGCTTCTTAAGTGGCGCCGTGCGCGCCTGCGATCTAGGCTGCCGCCAAGAGAAAGAAGGAAAAGGAAGCGAAGTGAGGATGAAGCGAAAAAATAACGAAACACAAGACGTGTGACGCATCGCCTCAGAAATACTATAGTAAATACAGAGTGGGAGGACCAGTTACGTGTCAGGACCGTGTAGTATATACTCTCTGTGTATAATACATAGGTATATAGCAGTTTACACAATGTAGGTATACAGGCAACCCCCGATAGATGCATCGGCCCACAAGCCCAAAAATACTTGGCGTTATTTCCAGCAAAGTGACACGATTTCTCGGGTCTCTCCCATCGAGCGACCAAGCGAGTGTAAAGGCGTGTCCGCAAGTAATGCGCTTCGGAGCGAGATCGCGTGGTCGACGGGAATGTGTCTGCCTGCGTTCACCAGATTACCTATATTGCACGGTATACCCAATAGATTGAAGGTACAGTCACGTGAGGGAGTTCGGTACGCGCGTCGAGTCTTCCTTGTGTCACATTGTGGGTTACGGTGTCTCGCAGGGCGATTGCGTAACGCAAATATATATTCCGGGGGAAAAAGGATTACTCGGGTACGTAGCCGCGATATTTGCGCGCAATATTTTGATGACCTCGAAATGACATTGCCGAAAATAACTAATGCGGGCAGCCCGATAGGACAGCATTGCTGCTCGTGGAGGCCAAGGTCAAGGTCAATCCCACTGCTCCACTCGTCGCTTCTCTCATTGCCTTACTGCCTCACTGGCCTCCCGCAGAACCTAACAGCCTGCCTGCCTGCCTGCCTGCTTCAGCTTTTACCTGTCTATCAGTAACCTCAACTTCTTCTGCGAGACTCGCAACGCTCGTCCACCTCCGAGTCTCCTGGCTTATTCCAACGTCCATCAGTCATTATTCAGCCTGCGTACAGTCGGCTTGGAAATTGTCCTGCATTGAAACGGCAGTAAACATAAACCGTGCCGCGAAGAAACTGTTCGGAGACACGCACTCGAACGTAAGTCCGAACGTAGGAACAGAAGATAATGAAAGACCGGGAGGACGATCGAAGAAACCAGAGGCTAAGCGGCCGACGTTACCAGCGATATGCTCGAGTTTGACATGGACGATCGTGCCACTGAAAGTTCATTCAATTATGGCGCACAGGCTATATCTATATATATCGCGGCTGAATCAGCCCGTAGGAAAACCAGTACTTACGTCGGAGGTCATTGGGAACTGCGACCTATCTATTGTCGCGTCACGCGTATCACGTGACAGTCTCTTAACGATACGTATTACTATTAAGGTCGAATAGGTAATAGTAGAATTTTCGAGACAATAGAGAATCATATTACCGGATTAGACATTATATCGTGACAGGGTGATTCACTTTTATTGGCTTATCAAGTGGGCGGGACATTTGGCCTTAGAACGGGGTCACGGGGTCAAGCCAAGAATATAACAAATCCGTAAACTGTAGGGGGGTTGTGGCATAGGGGGTTGAACCTCTGTCCCTACAAAGGGAGGTCTGACGGGCAGTCCGGGCCAAGATGGACCGAGAAGGTAAGGTAGGTCGAGCGTCTACCGTCGATTTGACGATTCGATGGCAGACGCCAGGCGCCGTCGACGTTGCAATTTGAAAAGGGCTGCGCTCTTAGCTCGTTCAGCGTTGG